CTGGTGTTGAGAACAGAGCAAACGCTGCTCACTGAGAGGGAAAGTTACTGAATGAGATCCAGTCTGTCATGCTTTATTACTGTTTTACAAGACAGCTTAGGTTTTGCTTATATAGCTTTATCTTTTACTGCCTGCCACATTTAACCACTTTGAAAGCAAATTCACAAACCTTCTGGAATGTGGCCCTATCTGTCTGGGATCACAGCTTCCCATGAGAGTTACATGATACAGAATAACAAAAGTATTGACCAAATGCTATTACTACAGGGCAGAAGAATTTTTATAGGAACAAGACCTGGGCTCTGCAAAGTACTTATCATTGGAATGACTGTGAGATGTATCTATTCCACAACCAAATTCAGGCTTTTCTTTCAACTTTATTCCACCTCCTCCTCAAAATGTATCAACCCTTCCACCACACCTACAAATAAAATTGTTCACAGACTATCAACAGTGTCTTTTAGAGGGGAATGAAGACAGACATGATGCCATTTTCCCACCATTTACATTTTTGGGTTGATCACAGACTACAGATAGAGAGGTGACGTACACCCAAACACTTGATAAAAAGAGTTCTAGTTCATGAAGTGGAGAAGACCCAAAGTATAAAATATATTTTGAACTTTTACTTTAGTCTTAATAGGAAGAGCATGTCAGAAGCTTAAAGTTAACCAAGAGGAATTTTAGGGCAGAGTTTCATACAACTCTATGCTTTAAACACATCAAAGCCTTTTTTTCCCTAGTTCCACTGTCTTTTGTTGTTGTTTTCTAAAGGAAGCTGTTTATTGAACCTTCGCATCTGTGACCTTTCTAAGCTTCTGCCCTGGCAGATGGCACAAGCCATGTTTTCTGGAGGGCTTAGAGGGCCATTTCACAGTTTCTGAAGTAGCTGATATGCTTTATTGAATACAAGCCAAATATGATTTGTACTCCTGCTTTTTGGGTAAAAAAGGTCTCTATAGATATTATACAGTATTTAGTAAGTCATCTACAAGGATATAAATCTCCATGTGGACAAATGCATACAGGTGAAGAGAGATGCTGTTTTCAAAGCAGAGTCCTGCTATCCAGACAAGAGGATGATATTTAGTGGCTGAGGTTTTGCTCTCAGCATTGCTGTGGCATTAGGGATGCTGAGAGATCTTCACAAGTGAATCCTGTGCAAGTGAACAGCTGAGTCATCCTAAAACTATAATTAACAGGGATAGCTCTGACAATGGCCACAGTAATTACTGGTTTTGTTAGCTGCTATGTGACACTCTTACTTCTCTATTCCCTCTCTAACAGTGTAATAACCAAACTTCCCTTTCCTTATAATTTCTTTTGTCTAGAGATCTTGTGAGTAGTTTTGAGTTGAGACCTTCTAGGCTACTAAGGATTTTGGGGATAACAGCAGCAGCTCAAGCAACATAACTGAGGTATTTATTACGGTGCAACAAAAGGAAAAACATGTTTCAGTAGTGCTCTATGCCACAGATAACTGTCCCACATGCTTAAGAGATGCAAGGTATTATGAGGAATTATGAAGAAGTTAATAAGAACTAAGTAACAAAGGTCATGCAAGTGTGGGCAGCCTGTGAGCAGGAAAGAGATCAAGTGACTTAATCCATCTGTAGCTGTATAAAAACCATCTGTATTAAGTATATGAAATTTCAAAATAAGCTTTGTAAACAATAATACCCTTTTTTTTTTTTTCTTGAAGGGGTAGGCCTGATTTTTTTTTTTAAGATCTTCCATTAAAACAAAGGCAAAAGTTTCATTACTAAAGGTTTATATTTCATTGTGCTATGTATCTGTGGAACCCAGTTTCTCAGATTTATGGTACAAAACTCTCTACTACAACATATTAGGCCCAATATGTCAAATTTCTTTGTTAAACAACAAAGATTCAGGAATCAGACAGAAGTAGAATTACTCTATGTTTCATTGGTAAGCCTGAGGTAAGAAGGAAAATGATCTAAATGTAAGAAGTGAAATCTTACATCTGTTCTGAGAAAACATTAAATCAAAGTAAGAACCAAATGATTAAGCATCAGCTTCAAGAAACACTTCAATAAAAACCTGGGAAAAACAGTTTCAGGAATAAATGAACATAAGATGTCAAATCAAGCCCTATCACACAATGCACTGAGAAGTACAGCATCATGAATAATCACAAGGGTTTGCTCTAAGATACAAAATAGAATTTTCCTAATTTAAGGAACCAAATATCTGTTTATGAGACAATAATGAACTTTTTATGGTGTTTTAATCAGCTTGTTTTCATCTCATCCTATTATTAGTTAATTTCATGCCGGAGAGGCATCTTTGGTGAAAGGCTTGTATTCTGGAGAGCCATAAAAGGAAAAGTGCAAGTATGCTTAATTGTTATCTAAACAAATTCATGCTAAAGTCCCAAACGAGTCTTGTAGCCATCCATTTCTTAACATCAAATTAAGGAACTCGGGCAGTAATATGAGATTCAATATAAGTTTCTCCTGAATAATGATTTGCATGGATTTGAATTTCATTATGAAGTTTGCAAGAAAAGACTGCTTCATATACAACAACTAATGCTGATTTTTGTTCCCTTGAAGTAGTAAAATTTATCTTTTACATGTTGCAAGGAAATAAAAGGTGATAATTTGTTATAATTAAGATTTAAATTTTATTGCACCAGTAACCAATGCAAATTAAAGGTGGATCAAGAGTTTAAATTATAAATGCACATTTACATTAGAAATTTGCACCATTCAATTTTATAAATTATGCAAAATCCTATTTTTTTTGTTAAAAAAAAATAAAACGCATTTTAAAATATTTGTTTCATGCATTACTAGGAAATTTTTCATTGAGTAGTTTTAGTCAGCCCTTATAGTGTCACTTGATTCCCTTTCCACCGCATTGTGTTTTGGTTTGATTCCAAGGAAAGATTTTTTTTTTCACAAAGAAAAAATTATTACTAGTAAGCAACCTCTTTTATAACACAGAGTGTCACCACATCAAGAAGTTTTGTGAGAAAAGATCATTTAAAAAATGCTGATGATTGGAAGTTTGCCAACAGCAGACTGAGTTAAGAGAGCATTGGGTAATTTCTCTGCCAGACAGAGTTGATTTTCATTCCTCACTCACATGACAGATCTCCTAGATGCCAGCCACAGAAACAGCAACCCCACTATTACAAGACGTTGTTTCTCAAGCTGTGAACTTCAGCCAAGTAAGGTACAGACAACTTGGTCATTATTCAGGAGATCTAACAGGACTCATTGCTACAGCCAGTCTAGCTGGCAACACTGCACAAGGCATCAACAAGTACTGGATTCCACCAGTATTTTTAACTATATTTATTTATATATTTATATATATTATATATATTTTATTTATTTATATTTATTTATACTATTTATTTTACATTTGCTAACAGCTTCAACTGGAAACATATCACTTTAAAAATGATAGCATGTATTCAATGTTTTTTCAAGTGTATTGATGACAAATGACATCATATTTGATGATACTGAGAACCACAGGGCTTAAAGTAAAAACAAACAAGAAAATTCCACTCATAAAGAAAAAATTACATTGCTGTTTTGAAGTCTACTAAGTCAAGAACAGGGGGAAATGTTGGCTGTTTAAACAAGACCATGGAAGATCTGGATTCAGTTCCCAGCTGCCTAATTCATTTTCCAAGGGCTTCTGTTCTGCTACCTGTCCTGGGAGCCCTGACATTTCTCTCCTTGCTATAACATCTCAAAGTAGCTCAGACCAAAAGCCTCATCCAGGACTCAACTTTTAAAGGGGAAATAATGGGTAGGGGTCATTTCAGGTGAGTCATGATCACATTTGAGACATATCTTAATGTATTCAAATCTAATGACATATATAATTTTTTAGTTTGATATAAAAGAAGAGAAGGAAAACATGCACCATATGTAGAAACATTTTAAAATTTGGGGTTAGAAATGAACATCACTGTCAATATTTGAAAAGAGTGGAAACTTTAAAAAGTATTACTCAAACAATGCTTCTGTCTGATTATTCCACTTTTTATTTTACTTTGTTTTTTCTTTGGAGAAAGTTTATAAATGTTAAATAACTAGTCTAACATTCTGTACCTCTTTTTTTGGTCAAAGAAGAAATATGTTTTAAATTTGTCCAAACAATTTTATTATTTCAGTCATAGCGATTTTCTACACTTACTGGCAACTTTTGGTAGTCCATCAATCTTTTGCTCAGATATTTACAACATAACACTAAAAAATGAGCAAGGCTGGCAAAGAAAATATTAAAATCATCACTCACAAATAAAACTTTTTGCGTTGTCCTATGGATCACAAACTAAAGTGTAGTAGACATCAGAAAGAGGGAGTATTTTTAACATCAAATAATCATAAGTGTCCAGAACACATCCTCTATTCAACTGGGCAATCACCAGATCATAATTCTTGTATTTTTACAAGGAGACTATTCCATAAGGGCATACTTTATAGCAACAATCAATATATCCACCTCCATAAAACTTATAGAACTGCACATGATTGATGAAAGATGCTGAAGACCTTAGTTCTATTCAACCTGCAATAAGAATATCTGTAAGACAAGCCTTCTCTTACAGAACTAGCTAACCAGAAGCTGAATTTCAGCATGACAGTTTTGCACCCTCCTTGCTTTCCCCAATACACCTGCAACATGATGCTGGACAGCACAGCACTATGGGACCGTGCTACTGTTTCCCCATAAATAGCAAGGCACTGGGTTGAAATCCTCCACAAGGAAAGGAACAATTACTGTGGCTTAGATTTTCCCTTGCACTAAAACAGGCTAAAATAGAAGACTTGCTGCAGAAGGGACACAGTGACAGAACTTAGCTATGATTCTGGTCAAACCCATTCCCACCACAGACCACATCTTTTCAGAAGAAAGCATCACCTCCTTCCACTTCAACTGCCACATAATTTCCACTGTTAAAAACAGGGCAGGATCACCATCATACAAAAGCATAAAATAAAGCAGGAACATACGATGGACATAGATATTGCTTCTTTTTCCCTTTTCCTTTCTTTGAAGACTTCTCTTTGGAATAGACTTCTTCAACCCATAAGGAGAATGAGATGAAACATAAAATCGCTAGTAAGAACTTCATCTTGAAGATTACGCTTCAGAGGAATCTTCAGTCTGTGGTAAAGAAAAGTGGTTTATGTTAGCAGGGCTGGATATGGCAAAGGGAAACACATACCTGCAAAAAGTAAACAAATATTTCATGGGGGTTGGGTTTTTTTTGTTCTTTGTTGTCCTGGGAGAGAGAGAGTCCGTTCACATGTAACCCTGACATGAACCTGACTTAGGCAACTTCCAGAGAGTCAAGTATCTTCCCAAAGTTGAGATTGACAGCGAGGAACAGATCTAAATGCAGGTTTGCTTCAGTGTGTTTAAGATATGTGATGTCCTTCAAAGACTGTCTAACCCAAAAAACACAGAAGCTTGGAAACAAGGTTCCTCACCAGAAATGTATCAACTGTATTAAATACAATATCAACCAGTCATGTAGCAAGGCAAAGAACTGCAAGCTCTCTGTGACCTTGCGCAGATGAAATAGGACTCATTTCAACGCTGGTTATGAGAAGAGGTTATAAATATAATTTTATGTACAGAATTTAAACACAGCTATTTTGCACGAGGCATTTCCACTGCAGAGCCAGCACTGACAGGGCCTTGCAAAGATGACTAAACACAACCTGTAATATTCTGCTTTATTGCATTGCGCTCAGTTTAATATTTAAACTTCTCTGGGGCAACAGCAGGTACCCCAAAGGCCAGGAGATGAGTTTGTGCTCGGCCAGAGGCCGCCCCACCTGCCCCTGGCCACAGCACTGCGGCACCCAAGGCATTTTCCATTTGTTTGCCATCCCGCAGTTTTAAATCCCAAGCATTTCCTTGGGCCGACAGAAACCTCGCAGATGCCTGCTGCATTTTCCACTTGTATTTATTTGTATTTTTTTTCCCTCCACTGTTTTTAAAGAGCTGTGCCTCTCTCTCTTTTCCCTCACCTCCGAGAGGCACCGGGATGCTTCAGCTCCCCCTTTCCCCGGGAGCCGCAGCATCGCCACCCTCCCCCGGCCCGGCCGGGAAGGGTCGCGGATCTGCCCCTGCCGCCACCGGCCCCTCTCCCGGCCCCCCGGCCCGAGGCCTCGCACCGGCCCCAGCACCGGCAAGGGAGCGGCCTCGGCGCTGCCGAGCGCTGCCGGCGCTCCGCGGGGAGCGGGAGCTGGAGACGAACGGGGCTCCCCCCCGGCAGCACCCCCGGGCCGTGCCCCACCGCCGCCCGCCGCCGCCCCACCGGCGCTGGCCGAGGTGCTGACGGGGCTCGGCCGTGCCGCCCGGCGGAACGGGGCCCTCGGGCCGGACCCTCGACCCCCGCCCGCACACGCGGCCCCGCCGACGCCCCGGCCGCGCCCCGCGCTCACCGCCGGACGCTGCGATCCCCCCGCGCTCAGCGGCGGCGGCGGCCCGGGAGCGGGCGGGCCATGCCGCGGCCCGGCCGCAGCGACAGCGCGGCTCCTCCGGCGGCGGAGCGAGCCCCTACCTCCGGCGGTGCCTCCGCGGCCAGTGAGCATGTGCGGCGGCGCGGCGCTCCCCAGCGAGCACGTCCCGGAGCCCGCCCACACACGGGCACTGCGCGCCGGGAGGGGACAGCGGGGCCGACCCCCGGGCACCCCGGCCCTCCCGCCGCTGGACACGGGCACCGGAGAGGCGGTGGGAGGGGGAGAAGGGCTGGCGGAGCGAAGCATCCTCTGGTCTCTTGTGCGAGGAGAGCGCGTTTGACGGTGCTGTTGAGAGATACCTAACAGAGTTGGCAGGAGCAAGAGAATGTTAGCGAAGAGGAACTGAGTAGGATGAGAGGAAGAGGGGGTGCAGTGTTGCACAGATTAGTGGAATGGTGGATCAGTGGGCCGAGGCCGATTGCGTGAGGTTCAACAAGGCAAAGTGCAGCATCCTGCCCTTGGGTCACAACAACCCCATGCAGAGCTACATGCTGGGGGAGAGTGACTGCAAAGCTGTTCAGAGGACTCTGGGGCTGCTGATCCACAGCAGCTGAACATGATCCAGCAATGCCCAGGTGATCAAGAGAGCCAGTGGCATCCTGGCCTGTATCAGCAATGGTGTGGCCAAGCAGGAGCAGGGCAGTGATCATCCCCCTGTACTCAGCACTGGTGAGGCTGCACCTCAAATCCTGCATTCAGTTTTGGGTCCCTCACTACAGGAAGGACATTGAGGTGCTAGAGAGTCCAGAGAAGGGCAATAAAGCTGGTGGAGGGTCTGGATAGTAAGACCTATGAGGAGCAGCTGAGAGATGGGCATGTTTATCCTGGAGAAAAGAAGGCTCAGACAAGACTTTACTGCTCTCTACAACTGAAAAGAGGTTGTATAAAGGTGAGGATAGGTTCTTCTTCCAGCAGTCCCTTGCCAGGCCTGGCTGGGGAAGGGGCAGGAGGCAGCCCAGGACACCAGGGTGGGCAGGGAGAACTTGCCAGCCCACTTCCCCTCCCCACAGATTTATCTTGGCAACAGCACAGATGCAACAACCAGGTTCAAACTGAGGTAGGGCCAAGGCATTGGCCCAGCTCCCTGGGGTGAGAACACTCCCTTTGCTCTTCTATTGCCCCACAAGCAGCCATGAGAGATGAGCATTCCTGATGCTCTCCAGCTCAGATATAGCCGTAAGGGTGGAATTCATTCCTGTCTGACGTCTGGATGCAGGTGATGGTAGGACATGGCTGAGTTGCCATGTGCATGTCACAGTATGAGCCCATGTAAGAACCTTCACACAGCACACATGGAAAGATAGCAAGGAAAGGACAAGATGTGCTGCCTTCAGCATGTAGGGAGGACTACCTAGTTTAAAATTTTAAAATTTCAAGATGGTTGAACACAGACATTTGTATGCACACTTTGTGCATGCAGCAGCACTTCTCCATCACTGCCAGCATTTTCCTACTAGGAGCTCGCCCTCCCTTCCAACTTTCCCAGGCTTTCCCAGACACCTTTTACCCTGGGATGTGGCCATGGTGACTCAGGCCAGTGACTGCTGGTTTTTGGGGTGGTGGGAAGAAATTCCAGGAAGTGCATATGCCACAGAGGCAGATGAGGGGAGTGATGGCAGCTGCATCCCCAGGGAACCAGCTTTGGAAGCCAATGTCCTGATCTCACAGCCAGGGTTCCCTGGAAAGGCAAAGGGTTCTCCCAATGTCAGCAACTTCCTGCTGCTCTTGCAGAGGAAGAAAACCAAGCTGGCCTTGCTGCAGGGCTAGCAGGCTGTGGAGAAGACAGCTCTGTCTTGTCCTCAGCACCATGCTGGGCATCTCTCATTAGCCTTCAGCCTAAGGCTGGGTGCTTGCAGGCAACTATACTTCCTCTGGTCTGGCAGCCTGTCCCTTGTCCCTGTCTTGGTGCGCTTCCCTGCTGCCATCTCCTGCTTGTTGTCCCAAGATGACGGCGAGCAGCACTTTGCCAAGCTGGGGAAAGCATTGTCACCAGCCATGTTTAACAGCCTGTGAACCCCATGGCACACCTTCACCATCACCCTCTCCCAAAAGCCCAGGGCAAGGCATGTGGAGCTCCCATCCAATGGGGATGGGGATTCCTGCCTTCAGAGACCCCTGAAGAAAAGCAGGGAGGTTGCATCCCCCATTTGAGGGCTGATTCTCCCCCCCACCCCCAGGATGGTGCTGCACAGTAGGACCATGGCACAGCTCTGCATGGGGCTGGCTTATGTGAAAGCCAATGTAGCTTTAAAGTGGACAGGGGGAAGAAAGGCATGATTTGGGCAGAAAAGAGCATCCTGTATGACAGAGCTCCATCATTAGCACTTGCTACATTTGTGGTCCCTGTGGCAGTAAAAAGAGACAGTGGGATTTCCTCAGTGTGGGGAACGTCCATTGGGCAGCTAAGGCCAGGAGCTCATGGCAAAAAGAGAGAAGGTGAAACCTGAGGGATGGTGGGAACTGCAGCTCAAGCTCAGGAAGCCAAACAGGTAATGAAGCATCTAACAGACCGCAGCAACAGCCTGGGCCTCCCTCCAACACTTTGGCTTCATTCCCCTTTTGCAGTTTATGGCTTCTCTGCTCAGTCCCTTTCTTGCTTCTCTGCTCATTCCCTCTCCTCACATTCCTGAGCTGTCAGTGGGATGTGAAGAAGCAGCTGTTTTTGAGCTGATTCCAATGAGCTCCCTACCCACAAATGTTAAGCTGAGCACACAGGTTTGGCTCCAGCTGTTTGGGGACAAAAAACAGCAGTACCAGGAGGACCAGAACAGTCACTCCACCTAATTTTTTTTGGCTGCTGAGTATGGGAAGGTTAGCCTCTGCCCTGGACTCCTAAGACTGTGTATGTCCTAAGACAAAGTATGTGCTGCTGTGTCCACATTAGAGTGCCTACAAGTCCCAACACAGCTGAACTAATAGACAAAGTCTTTGTTTTCTAGGTACAGACCCATCAAGTAAAATAGCGGTAACCTGAAAGTCTTAGCAATTACCACAGTTCATCCTCTCCTCTGGAAGTGTGGCCTCTCCAAAACAAAAACTTGCCCAAGGGACAGACAGGGCTCTATCCTGCACTTGCCAGTAATATTTCTTCCATGAATTAGTTCAAAGACAGCTTCTTTTACCTGGGAAGAGATTAACAAAAGCATTTTTCTATTGCAGCTTCTTTGAAGCAGTGCATGTCATAACACCTGATGCTGGGGCAAGGCAGGGACCAGCTGTGGGCGGCAGCCCCTGGGGTCCCTGCTAGCCCCCCAGCCTCTGCCAGCCCATGGCACCCACCAGCTCACACCCCAAGGAAACCTCCTCCCCTCCCTCTGTCTCAGTTTTGCTGTACCACGAGCCCACATGTGCTGGGCTCAGCACCACTTCCAGGTGAGAATTCACCTGCAAGCTGGGGAATGCCTGTAAGACAGGAGCAATCTCTTTGGCAGTTTCCCTGTGCCTGCCACAATATTAGGCACATGAAGGAGAATGGCAGCTCCTTCCTGGCTCTGCTTTCAGCTGGGATGACCATTTCCAATCTTCCACCCTTCACAACCCCCATCTCCTCAGCCAGGCAGGCTGCAGTTAAGCCACGTGCCTGGACTGGCTCTGGGGCAGAACTGCCCATGCAGAACTGAGACACCAAAAGCC